ACCCTCCTTGGTGACACTCGTCACTAGACTCAGAGACTGCAAAATTTTCATCTTCAAACTCCATTAGTTGCACGATTTGCTCTGCACTTAGCCTCTTTTTCTGTATTGTTTCAAGCTCTTTTTCACTCCTGACTGTGATGGCATTAACTTGGTGCTTAGAATTGATATCAGTTATTCCACGAAAGAATCCATCTTGCCTTTGAACAGCTCCTGCAGTTTGAGCAACCTACACATCCAGCTTCTTCATATGAGAGTTTAGACTCTAAATTTTTCCATTCAGGTCTTGGTACAGCGAATCTAGCTTGCCATTGAAGTTCACTGTCATCTTCTGTTGTCCTTCAAGTATCTGCTCCAGAATAGTTTCCATCTTAGTGTCTTGTGGAGGTGCAGTTTGGTAGGAAGAAGAACCATAATTCCTGCTGTTTTGGTAAGGTTTCTCAACTTCAGTCTTCTGGAACTGTGGCATTAGAGTATAACCAGTTGCATTCTGGTTTCCTGGGAAGGTGCTCTTCTGATTTTTGCCATTGTAACCTCTGTTCAATTGTTGACTTCCAAACCTTTGATTCTGAAAATCCCCTCCATTGATGAATTTAACATCTTTTTGCTCAAATTCTTCAGAATTTTCTGCAGCGAATCGGACTGATTTCTTTCCCACCAGAAGACTGTGCATACTGTCTAACTTAGCCTTAACCTCAGCTATTTAGTTTCCTTCATTCAAACCACCCTGTTTCATTCTCTGAAAATCTGCATTCCTGGTGCTGTTGCTGCAAGCTAAGTTTTCAATCAATCTGATTGCTTCTTCTAGTCTGTTGGTGTTGAAGTTTCCAGCACTAGCTGAATCCAGCGCCATCTGATACTTCCAGTCAATCCCTCTGAAGAAAATCCCAAGCAGCTGCACCTGACTGAAACCATGATGAGGACAGTCCCTTTCATAAGACTTGAATCTCAGCCAAGAAGCCTTAAAAGCTTCAGTAGGACCTTGAGAGAATGATGAAATTTTTGTCCTCAGGTCCTATGATCTAGCATCATCATAGAAATTGTTCAGAAAGGCATTCTTGGTGTCCTCCCAAGTAGTTAATGAACCAGGCTCCAGTTGCTTCAGCCAATAAGCAGCATCTCCTCCAAGTGAGTATGGGAACAGCTTGCAGAACAGGAAGTCATTGCTAACTCCATTAGCTTTGACACTTGAAGCCAAATCCTCAAACCTCTCAATATGATCCATTGGATGCTCATGAGGTAAGCCATGGAAAGGATGTTGTCCCACCAGCTGATAATAAGCAGGCTTAAGCTCAAAATCATTCATCTGGAAAGCAGGAGGGCGGATTGCAGTTCTGTTGGCATAGAATTGATAAGGTCTGTTATAATCTCCTAGAGTCCTCTGTACAAAACGCCCGGTGGCGTTGTTAGCAGCAACAGGAACTCCAGCATCTTGTGCCACTTGTTGAACCTGCTGTTCAACTATGACATTCCCATCTTGATCAATTCTCTGCCCATCTTTGTTCCTCCTGTTTCCCTCTCTGTCAACCAAGTGACCTTCTGCATCTTCAACTAAGATTAGTGGAGCAACCATTGTAGACTGTTTCTTAGTTTTTCTGATGGTCCTCTCCAACTTAGCGCGTTCGTCGATGTTCAAAATTACAAGCTCCTTCTCTTTGTTGCTTCTGGTACTGCGATTAGGCATACACCTGAAACCAGCACAAAGAAAAGTAGCAGAAGTTAGTATACAAATTAAAACTTAATAAAATCCTAATACTAAAAATTGATAGGCAGCTATTACTCCCCGGCAACGGCGCCAAAAACTTGATAGGGCTCAGGTTTTACCCAAATAAAATATTGCAAGTGCACAGCAAAGCAATTGTAGTACAAGGGGTATCGAATCCCAAGGGAGTATGTAAACTACACTATCGATTGTAGGTTCAGATTAAGCTAAGTAGTAAGTGGTGTATGTAATGCGAATAACAAAATAAAAGCAAGCAAACGAAATGGGTTGTTATCTAAGTTTCAGAAGACTAAAAGCGCTAAGCTTGGACAGTTCGCAGGTTGAATCCGAGAATGTAGAATGCATGAAATCAGGAATGATTTAGAACCGTCTTAAACATGAATCGCAAATATATAACTAATCAATTCTCATTGCAGAAGTTAACTATGTCTAAATCACTGAGTTTCAAATCTCTTTGGAAACCCTAAAAGTCTAAACATGCAGTAATGATCAAGTTCAATTGTTCACAAAACTCCTAAGTCAAATCTCTTTGCACTAAGTTATTTTGCTCATCTAATGCTAGATCAGGTTATGAATAATGCTCTCACATCTATTAAAAAAACCTAGGATTTTCGGATTTCTAGATGATGTGTCTAAGAAATCGATTTTAAAGCAAGCAGAGATGTAGAATCAAAAGATATTCCTGACAGGTAGCAATTCTACAAACTCTTCATCAACCTTTGAAAAGCCCTAACCTAACTATCAAATTACTCAGACATGATCAAGAAATCACAAAACATAACTGAATAAAACTGCATTAAGATAATAGAATAAAAACAAAGGGGGTTCGAAATCTTCTCCAAAAAGAGTACAGGATCTGTCTCCCCAAAAGCTCTCAATAAAATCATCTCTAAGCTCTCTGAATTCTCAAAAACTAAGATAAAAGCCAACAATGGCTGAAAACCTAATATACAAAAGCTAAAACACGATATGGGGTGTTCTTGCAAATACTGGAACTTCTGGGCCAAAACTGCAATTTTTTCCCAATCTTTTATAAGCCAGCCACGACTCCTTCCTTTAGGGGTGACGAGAGTCACCAGCTTGGTGACGCTCGTCACCAAATCCATACTTTTCTTCTCGAGATGCACACTTCGTGGCTTCATCTTGCAATACTCCAAAATGTTTCAATATCTCCAATTATGCTCCAGACATGCTATAATCTGCAAAGACTATACTAGGACTCTAAAAAGACCAAAAAGACTCAATAAAAAGGACTTATACCATGGTTAAAAACCGTAAAACCCATGATATATCACGTACTCTACCAATATGCTTACAAATCTCGACAATATAATGGCCGTTTGTAATCAACTTTGTGATAGAACAAGACATCAACAATTGAAAGCTGATTTGGTTGACCTTATATGGCAAAAATTTGGTGGAAGTAAAGATTATAATTGAGCGGGTTTTCCAGTTTCTGAGTTGCACTTATATAATTTTTATATTTCTATGTATTATATTTTTGAAAATATATATTTTACTTAAATTTATTAAAAGAAAGTTTGTACATATATATATATATATATATTTTTTTTTAAGACACTCATCAAAAATGTCTCTATTGTAAACTTAAAAATAACAAAATATTACAAAACGTCTTATATACATTAAGTACACAAAATATTAATAATTAATCAATAAGACCCCATTAATAATATCTCTATTAGAGTTGCTCTTAGTTGTCAAACAAAACATCCTATATCTACTATTCCTCAAGTGATGCGCATATTCAAATAGCAAAAGTTAACCCTCAAATAGATATATTTTTGCACAAAATTAAGGCTAAATATGTAATTCCAAATGTGTTTCACATTTGTATATTTTTTTACCTAAGTTTTCTCTGTATAACAATAGCCATTGGCGAAGGCTAGATTCTCATTATGGTATATGTGTTTCTGTCTTAAAAGGGGAAAAATAGATGCTTCTTAAAGTGATTGCTATGACTACACTAGTATATACTATATAATGTTCAAGATTCCCAAAGTCAACCATAACTAATCTAACTAGTGTTGTGGTTGACTTTTGATGGAACTGGCAGAAACATAAGAGAAAAATTTACCGAATCAGCTGGGATGGAATGTGTTTTTCTGAAGATCGAAATGTGGCTTATGGTTCAAAGATCCCATTGATGTCTCGACAAGGGGATGGAACATGGAGAAACTTAAAAGATTTGTTCTTTCCTCAAGACATGAAGATCATTTTGGCATCAAGACCTGTGGTGAGGCTGAGGCATAATGACTTCTGGATTTGGGAACCTAACAGGAGTGAGAGCTATTCAGTGAAATCAGCATATTGGTTTGCTTGTCAAGTGCATAAGAAGGATTTTATTCAAGAAAGTTCGACGCAATCGTCTATAAATGTGCTAAAAGTACATATCTGGTCCCTTGAGTGGAGCTATTCCCGTAGCAGATCAGATAGTAACTCTGGGAATGAAAGTTGATCCAGGTTTATCCCAAAACCTCAGAAGGAGGATCTCTTGCTTTTAGGTCAAATCTCAGATCTTAGTAGTGAAGATATGGTTGAGGAAAGTGAGGTGCTGGATCGAAACCACCACTAGAAAGATGGTTTTGAGTTATATATTTGATTATATACAAATTTTGATTCGAGTGTGATTCCAAATACACAAGGCGAAAATACATATGGTTCTTGAAGCAAACAACTTGTTAACAGGTATAAACTGCAATTCAAGAACTACCTCTCACCATTCACTTGTAGATTACGTCTATCAGTTGCAGTTTATATTTGGGTTGATTTCTTGCTTATGAAGAGTTAAGTTGGTGCACTACAAAACGTTTTTTACTTCTTTCTTTAATTTCATAATACTGAATACATTTGGAAGTTTTGGATAAGATATATATAATTAAGCCTCCTTACTGCTTATTTGTTTTGTTTGTAGTTGATTTAGCAAAATAATGATATGTTAAAACAGATTGCAACACTATTGAACGCTCTTGGAGTTTAGATTTATAACAGATTCAGTATACACTAATCACAACAAAAATGCTAAACATGAAACTGAAAGATAATTGTTGAACAATGTTCTTTTGATTCAACCATTCGAAAGAAGAAAGTATATTAAGCAGTAGTAGTAAGAAGAAAACACAAAAAGGTAAAAAAGAGATGATATTATTATAGAAATTGATTGAATTCATTGTGTTTTACAACTCGATTTACGCATACTACTTAAAACAAAATATTAACTGAATCAAATCTCTAGAGTCTAAGCCTATGTTAAAACCAATCAACAGACCAATGGAACCGTAACAGGCATAACCATCGTCTCTTTCGAATCCTTAGCAGGCATTTTTAGTGGTTCGGGCATACACTTAACATGAACAATAGGACCGGACCCATTCCTGCTCAAGTACGCAGCATCTCTGTACAACCAATCATCTTCCTCATGGCTAAAGAACTCTTCAAGCGGCTCAATACACAAAGCACACAGCTTCTGGTTCTCATCAGCAGGAACAGTATGTCGCTGCTCTTGTTTCTCCTCTACTTTCGTCTTCTCTCCAAAAGCTGCTTTAGCCGCCGCTTCGCCCGTGGCTCCCGTCGCTGGACTGAGCCATAGAGACTCGCTCGCGAACCAATCACGTGACTTCTTCGGTTTCTGGCTCAACCTTGAGTTGGCTTTGGTCGTGGTTGCTTCTTTAGCCAACCTGTTCTTCCTCGCATGCCAATCCATGTGCTTGCTATGTTCTTCTTGACATTTGAATCTAACTCCACACGAAGAACATTGCCTCCGCATATCAGAGTACAAAGACTTAATCACAGATTCATTACGAACATTAAGATTCACAGAACCAAAATCGAGACAAAGAGCAGCTTCATCGAGACTACTTGGGTTCTCTTTGTCTTTCTCTTTGTTGTTGTTAAGAAGGTTAAGTAAATCAATCAACTCTTTGCTCAAAATTGGTTGTTGAGGCATCGCTTGAGACACAATTGAAACCATAGGCATTGGATTGAGAACATTCGTAAACACAGGTGCTTGAGAAGAAGGCAACGGAGCGTTAACCGGTACGATATTCGAAGACCTAATTGGGAAATTCGACCGGTTCGGAACCCATTCAGGCAACGACTCAAAATCATCAAGCTTACGATAAGGTAAAGGAAGCGGAACCGATTGGGGATTAGGGTTAGGGTTACGAATCTGATAATTGGTGTTAGATTGCGAAGAAGAATCATTGTTACGTACAGCAAAAGGAAAGCTATTGCTTGAATTAGAACCAATCACATCACCACCGTAATTCGAAACCCTAGACATGTTATTGCTACCATAATGATACAGAGGAGCCGGTTGAAATCGCGTTTGAGTTTGAAATCTTCCACGTTTCTGGGGCGGCGCGTAACGCCGATCTTCCTGGAAACCTCCGCCGCCGCCGCAACCGTGGTTGTTGTCGATTCGTCTCTTCATCGGAATCGTCCTGGATGATGACATCTTCTCGTCTTCTCGTTTCAAAAATCGTATGAGTAGTTAAGCCAAAAAAAGAAAACCAATCGTATGAGTTTCTCTGTTTATGCGAGAGAGAGAGAGAGAGAGAGAGAGAGAGGGAGAGGGAGAGGGAGAGAGAGAGGGGCGGATTTAGAAAATAAGAACAAAGATTGCGAAGAGGCAACAAGGTTTCTATTTATTAGGGGGTGTATGTCGGTTAAAAAAGTTAACCGCGTGAATAACGCGTGCCCATCGTAAAAGTAACGCGCGTTATATATTTTAATTGGGCCGAGTTCGAAAACCCTTATTGGGCTTTAGGAAACTGTTTTCTTTCTAGAATTTCTCTACTCGTTCGTCCAAATTACCGAAGAAGAAAGAAGCAGGAGGAGGAGGAAGTGATGGATTCTGAGAAGGCACTGGAGCTTGTGAAGCATGGAGCTACGCTTCTTTTACTCGACGTTCCTCAACATACTCTTATCGGAATCGATACTCAGGTGAGTTTACTTATTGCAAGTTTAAAAGCTTTTTGAGAAACGGGATTGTTGCGAATTTTGTATTCTTCGTTCTTGAGCAGTAGTATGGTGAATTTTGAGCAGTATTGTGATGTGAAGATGATTCTGTTGTTTTTAGTTTCGTGTTAGTAGAATCCCGAAGAGAAAGGTTTATGTGAATTGTGAGTTTGATATGACATCGTGATTCACATTTATGGCTAAATTTCGAGGTTTGTGCGCTTTAAAGATTCTTTTTGGGGATGAATTGTGATGAATATAGTGTCATTTTGTTGATTTTGATTGTAAAGCTTGTAACTTTATGGAGCCATGGAGGATGAAAACTCTTATATTCATGTAACTCTACATAAAGAATATTTTGAAGAGATACAGCACACAGATAGTGAAATTTTATTATCTTGAATTCTCATTGCATAATCAACGGAGACGTTATCTTGAATTCTCATTGCAGAACTTAAACGTTATCTTGAATTCTCATTGCAGATGTTCACGGTGGGACCAGTTTTCAAAGGGATTAAGATGATCCCTCCTGGAATTCACTTTGTATTCTATAGTTCATCGACCAGGTTCGACTCTTTCAATGCCTCTTTTTTGTGTGTGTTGCTGTTTATAGTATATCATCATAGTTAACTCATTGATATCTGATTCTGAATAGAGTTCTGTCTCGATATCCATTTTCTTTAGCTGATAGCTGCAGAATTGTGTTTTTTTTATTTATTCAGGGATGGTAAGGAGTTTTCACCTACGATTGGCTTCTTTGTTAATGTTGGTGCTTCTCAGGTTTGGAATCTGTCGTTGCCTTATCTTTTTATATTCATGTTGGCCTGAGATGGAGATTGCAGCACCATGGAATTGTATAAGACTAACCATGGATACATTTTCACTATCTGTTGTTGACTATAACAAGGTTATTGTACGCAAATGGAATCAGCAAGACGAGTTGTTGGCCAAAGTATCAGAAGAAGAGGTTTGTCATTTTAATATATCATAGTGCAGAAATATTCTCACTGTTGCTTATACTTTGGTCAGTAGTAATTTGAATCTTTTACTTTCATTCCCAGGAAGAGAGATATTCTCAAGCAGTAAGGAGTTTGGAGTTTGACAAACATCTTGGCCCATACAATTTAAGCCAATACGGGGCATGGAAGCACTTATCTAACTACATCACGAAGGATGTTATTGAGAAATTTGGTATGTGAAACCTAATTTCTAGTGGTTTTGTTAACCATAAGCACATTGTATAAGTTTTCTCTCACTGTAAAACTTGATCTGTTCATCTTTGCAGAGCCAGTTGGAGGAGAAATTACAGTCATATATGAATCTGCTATTCTAAAAGGCGGACCACAAACGGAAATGGAAAAAGCACTTGATAAACAGATGTGGAAAAGCAAGCATAAGGCATCATCGACTGAGCAAAACAAAGGGAATAGGTTTTACTATACTTGTATCCCTCGGATTGTAAAGCACAAGGGAATGTATGGGCAGGAGCTAACCTCTATGAACCTTGACAAGGTATCTCCCCAGATTCTTCTTTTTTACTTTTTTTGGTCGATGTTTCATTATCAAAAACTCAGTTAGAGAAGCCTCAACTGCTTTGTGTAGACTCAACTGCTAGAAAGCGTATTGTCAAAGGAGTACAAAGACTCGGAAGACCTGCTTCTTGGGGAGCTCCAGTTTTCATTTGTAGCATTTTTGGTATGTGATGCATACCGTAACATATAGTAATTACAAATAGGATTTGTTCCCTTCTCAGATAAAGGTGTCACGTTTGTTGTGCAGATGGGGCAGTCTCTTGAATCCTTCATGCAATGGAAGTCCTTAGTTAGTCTTTTACTGGGCTGCACCGATGCGGTATGTGATTTTGTAGCTCCGTTTTGTTGTTATATTTTCCGTACATGATATGAACCCTCCGCCTTGATTATATGTTTTGTCTCGTGTATCTGAGAAGTTTTAAGATTTCTCTCGTAACTCAGTCTTCTGTTCTCACTTTTTCTATGCTTCTCTGTTTTTGGTTATGATATAGATTACCTGCTTCTGTATGTTAGTCATTGTATCCAAAAGATTAGTGTGACTTTGATTTTTGACATTTACATTTCTTTGTGACCTTTTACCAGCCATTTCATACAAGGAGTCAACTATTTACAAAGGTAAAATTTCGTCAATTTTCATACAAAGTTGTATATCCGAAGATGTATCATGTATGATGTAACAGGATGCACTATGCATACTTTTATCAGTTATCATTCTAGTAACCTAATTAGTTCCTATCTCAATCATCTATTTAAAAGAAAAAAAACTCATTTTATATTCCCTTCTCCCTGATGCATTTATTACAGTTCATCAAAGTAATCTACCATCAACTGAAATATGGACTACAGAAAGAGAGTAGTGGTCCTGAGATGGGCCTACAGGCGCTTCTTGATGATTCTTGGCTAGCTTCCGATAGCTTTCTGCATTTGCTTTGCAAGGTAAATCTCTGACTAGCCACATGTTTTCTTCTGAGCAAGTAAACATTGAGTGTCTCGAAACTTTGAGTTCGAACTTCCATTGTTTTTGATAACAGGAATTTTTTGCATTAGTGGACGAGACCTCTGTAGTTGATGGAGATTTATTGTCTTGGGTATGTACAAACTTCTACATAAACAAGATCGGATCAGTGGTTTTCACAACCCTTATGGGTTTCTCTAAAGCAAATTCATTTTGCAGACAAGGAAGTTCAAAGAGTTGCTTGAGAACAGATTAGGATGGGAGTTTCAGAAGAAGAGCGATGGGATTCACTTCGATGAAGATGACGAGGTAAGTGTATCACCGGCCTCCATCTTTGTCTTACGCTTCTCTCGCTTTTTCATTCTTTTTTAAACCTCACGGACTCTCATAATGATGCAGTATGCTCCTGTGGTTGAGATGTTAGATGAAAGTCATGGAGACTATACGGCCACTTAGACATCGATGCAAGTAGTTCGATTGTACCTGACTTTTTGGGGTTTCTTTAACTTCCACAGATGTTATGATGGTAATACTGATTTAGTGTTTATGTTGAATGTTGTTCTAACACGAGTTATAGACAGTATACATTAGTGGAAAAAAATTCATATGTACATTTTTGTTTACTTCATATCTTAAAAGACTTTGACTAAGAATCGCCAAAATGTTGTAATCAAGAGAAATATCGTATTTATATCAAAGAATGTGGGGACATGTAATAACAATTTGTATGTGGCTCACTAATCTCCTGACCAAATATCTTTGCTCCGACCATACAACAAAGTCTAGTTTCTCTCTGTCTTCATAGCTTCTTCAGCTTTTGACCTCTCAAGCCATTCCAAAACGCAGCCGCGTTGATCGCTTTCTTACCAGGAAGTTGAACTTCCAGTACCTGAATGAACAAAAAACACCAAACGCTAAAATAAATGTCTGATTTCCCGCAATCGTTATATCAAAAACTGAGTCTGTAAAGTCTATAGCTTTTACCTCCAAAGCCGTGCCTTTTCCACAAGGAAAGACCAAAGAACCTTTCTCGAAACTTACATAATCTTGTTCACCATTCAGCATTTCTGTATTTTGGCGTATTCGAGTGGTGATGATCTTAAGCTCTAGCTCGTTTTCCTGACCGCTTTTGTCGTCAAGAACTACAACCTTAGCTCGTGTTCCGGGCCATCCTGCGAAAGCACGAACCTAGAAGCCGGTTTTACCTACTTTTGTGTTTATGATTTACAGACTAATCGAACGAAATGAAAAGGGTTCTTACCTTGTTATGTAGAACAAAAGCTTCTTGGTCAAAAGAGAGCCAAGCCTCATCTGGAGCTATCTGTGCATCATCGATTGAATCATTCTAGTCTAATAAGAAACATGATTTCTTGTAATTATACGAGACGTGCAACAAAAATACCTTTGGAGCTAATGTAGCTTTAGAATCATCTTGAGGAACTGCTTTTGATTTTGCTGACCCATCAAATATCAAGGGAAGTTCACTGATAAGAAGCTTAGATCCTGCAAAAGTTTTTCTGCATAGATAAAGCTGGGAAATTCCCTAAATTTCTAATCATAGAACTGTAATGTTCAAATGATTTTTTTTTATATGTATAAGTACAAGAACTAATAGGTTACCTTCAGAAAATAAGAACGAGAGTAGTTCTGGTGCCTGCAGTTGAATAAAGGTCATTAAGTATTTAAAACCCAATACAAAGCTAATTTGAGAGATAAAGAAATAAACCTTGATTTGATCATCCACTTGGAACCTCTCAGAGGCAATCACTGGCCCTGCATCTAACTTCCTTACAGTAAATGCTAAAGATACTCCTGTTTCTTGAACACCATCCTAATACAACCACAAAGTGTTACTGTACAATCTTGAGATAAAGACTCTTACCATATAGTAGTAAAAAAAGTTAAGATTACAAGAAAAATTGCACCTGTAATGCTCTTTGCACTGGAGCAGCACCACGGTACAAGGGTAACAAACTAGGATGTATGTTCACTGTACCTATAAATAGTAAATATTGACTTCAAAACACAAGACCTCTTTTTGCATACAGAGAAACAACATTAAGGTAGCAATTTTCTACTAACCATGTACTGGAATATTAAGGAACTTGGTAGGCAAAATATTCCCATAAGCTGCAGTAACACAGAGTTCAGGTTGCAAATCTCTTAAAGTGGATAAGAATGCTTCCTGCATAGAGACGAAACAAACAGAAAATTTAGTCTTCTTCTTCGCAAGAACGATTCAAGAAGCAAGAGCTTGATATATGAGACAAAGAAGACCTTACATCTCCTGCCTTCTCAGGGGAGAAAATGAGATCAGAAGGTAAGCCTTTTTCGAGAGCGTATTGTGCTACCGGAGAAGGCAACACTTTCTTTCCTCTATCTCTTCTAGATGGAGGCTGTGTGACAATTCCTGCAACCTAGAACAAAGCCTGAATTAGCGCTTTAAGTAAGAAAGAAATCTTCTAAAGACAAGTTGTTTTGTTTCAGTAGCAGCAAGATCTCAGCTTCTCACCACATTTTCTCTTATCTTTGTTTCAGAGTTAAAAGTCTTAAAAGGGATAACAAAATGCTATATTCACACTGAGCACTTTAGTCATCAATGGCTTGTTTCCTATCAACAAGAATCATGGATGATTCAAACTTGAGTTCCAAATTTCAAATCCATTCACATCAATGAAGATTGAAGACCTTTTCTCAATTTCCCCATTAAAAATAAAATTCACAATGTCTATAAGCATTTTGTTCACATGATAGCACTTAATCATCAAATGGCTTGTTTCACATTAACAGGAATCAAAATCTTGAGTTCCAATTTTCGAATCCTTTCATTTGAAGACCTTTTTTTTTCAATTTCAGATCAAGAGAAACTAGAAATTTCGTTCAAGGAGCAGCGATATAAGAATCATGGCGAAGGAAAATTGAGAAATTTTAGATTAAACAACTGTGTTACCTCGAAGGAAGAGTTTGGTGAAGCAGATGCATCGAAAAGAGCTTCAAGCACAGTTACGGAAACCTAATTTGAAAAAAAAATGCTAAACCCTAAAAGCCCATAGTTATGTGTATACACGAACATTGTTGAATCTATTACCTGAGGAGAGCCTAAGAAGATGAGAGACTTCTTCTTCGGACATGGAGCTACAGAAGAAAGAGTTGCAAAACTTTTGAAACAAATGAAACGACGTAGCATTAGCGCCGAATTCATGGTTTCTCCTCTTTTGTTGGCTTGCTTCAATGGTTTCGAAGCTTCCTTTGGATTTTGGAACAGAGACGAGAGAGAGGGAGAGAGAGAGAGAGAGAGATGACCGATCGTATCAGATTTACATTTTGGAATTGTACCGTTCCTAACTGAATTGAACCGGGAAAAGAATAACATAAAGACTAAACCAAACTCGAAGCGAATTTTTTTATTCAGGTTAATGGACCAAACATAAGTTTAAGATAGTAGGATCTTTGTCGGCGAATTCTTTTTTCCTCAAAAGTAAAAGTTTTTATGATTTTTTTTCTCCAACTAAGTTTATAATGATCGTGACGATATCACAATCAGTTTTATATTCTACTCGAACCCAACTTAACTGAACCAAACAAATTGTTGTAATTTAAATCTCAAGTGACTATTTCTAATAAGTTACTCTATATTATTTATATGATTCATTATAGTCTGAATTTCATTGAGCCAACTAAATTTTTTATTATTACTAGTTATATAACTCGCGTGTAGCATACGCGAGTCTGTTTTAATAGTTTGCTTTAATTGTTTTTAGCAACTATCTTTAAAATTATTAAAACTATAATATATTTATAGAAATTTTCATTTATATAAGATAATTTAATATATAATGTGTAATTTTCTCCTATTTTTATTTATAATTTTTAAAAACTATTAGGTAAAATAATAACAATGACACCTATCGAATTATCCATCTTTGACGTACATATACATTTGATTTAGAGAAAGATTTTCTTGCTAAGATTTTGGTATTATTTTGTTTTCTATAGAAATTCTATAGTTCTTTTTTTTCTTGAAAGTTTATGTATTTTTTATTGAAAGTCTTATTGATGTTGTGTACCACTGCATATATAATCCATAATTCATGTTGATTCGCATTTAATTTTGTTAGGAAGCTGCAATGATCTATAGTTCTTTTTTTTTCTTGAAAGTTTATGTGTTCAAAAATAAAGTTTTTTTTTATTGAAAGTCTTATTGATGTTGTGTACCACTGCATTTAATTTTGTTAGGAAGCTGCAATGATCATGCAAAACCATTTTTTCCTTCTCCAACATGTCTTCCAAGAGTTTTATGTTATATTTTTATTTAGTTTTCATTGATATCTATTTTTTACAGTCTAATATTTAATAATTTTATTTATTTTAACTTGTAGGATCGGTGGTGTGGAGTCTTTGCATTATTTTTCACTGTTTTTATCTTTTGTGTGCAATATGCATGCTTTTATTTGAATATTTCATCTACATATAGCAATTTGAGTTTGATTCATAACTATGTCATACTTTATTATTTAAATAGAATTTTAGAATGTGTTATTGATGTTGATTCAGATATAAGTAGTGGCTATGTATAGAAATCATATTTTACTACTTGTTAAATATCGAGTGTAAAGTTATTATAGTATTTTTCTTTGTTAGTTTTTTAAATCAGAAACAAGTGTATTAATCATTGTATATATAAAAATATGTTTGGTTTAGAAATTCATGTAAACCTATTGAAATTTTAGATAATTATTCATTGTTGATACTAATACTTTAGAAATCAGGAACTTTTTGAAACTAATTTCAAATTAATTTTGTTTTAATTTTTTTTTTGATAATTTACATCTTTTAATAGTAATTTTTTATTTATTTTAATTTACATATTTTTTGTATATTTGATATACTTAGGACTTATATTATTTTTATCAAGCTCTTTTGTTGTTAATTTTCCAAATAAGTATTATAGACATCACATTAATTTCTTTTATACAAATACTTTTTTCTTTATTAAATTTGATTTTTATATTAATTTTAATTTTAGTTATAATGCTGATTTGATATGTTCTATCTGCTGAATTTAAATATTAGATGGACTTTTCTAAAAAGCTTATAACATCATTTGTTTATTTTTGTTAAGTTTTTTATATTGATTTTCAAATTTTGTAGCCCAAGTTAGTTTTCTTTTATACAACTTTTTCTTCTGTTAATTTGCATTTTTTGATAATGATTCCTATTTTATTTTGAAACATAAATTTATAACATGTTGAAATCTAAAAAAGCTTTTAGTAAAAACATGTTTAATTTCTCATCACATCATAATACCTTTAAAATAGTTTGGTTTCATACTCATATCTAAAAACAAAATAGAAAATTAAAGTATGGTGAGATATATGCATGTGAACGTACTTATCATGTCAAATAGTCAGTAGTTGCTTCAATATTTTTGTCGGAAACAATCGGGTGGAAAAAGTGGAGTTCAAAAATAATACTTCTACATGATGCAATTTAAAATATGGTGTTGAGAGTGAAATAAATCTTATTATCTAATTAATTTCAGGATTCATCATATTTTAGAAATCAGGAACAATAGTAATTATATGTTTGAGATTACGAACCTTGAATTTTTTTTGGATTTATAATTGTGGCTAGGAGCTCGACAGGTTTAACAACACTTTTCATTATTTTTCTTTGAAAATTGACGGAAGAGTAACACGAACAATTGGCCCACTGTTTAGAAAGTGTAAAAGGGTGGTAAGTAAACATAGATTGTATTCCAGATTAGAATATATATATAAACGATTTGTTGGGAGAACATGCTTATCTTTTTAATTGCAAGTGAACATTTATTTTATTATGACTTCTACCATTAGTGATATCATTAGCTTAATTGGACATAGAAAGTTCTCGTCGTTGATGATGATCAGTTTTCTAATAGCATCTAGATAGTATATAACATTATTATATATTTGTATTTGTGCAATGCATTATAAGTTATACATTTTTTTTGATCTATGCTATAAGTTTTAACTTTTACGATATTGATTTTTTTGGTTAGTTTGACTTTTTTTACATTAAATATATTTCCATTTAATTTCAAAGGATACTATATTTTGGTTTTTTAATATTATTTTCTTTTCTATTTGTTACTTAAGTTTTTTTTCCATCTATAAAACAAAATTTATGTTTTTTTTTCTTGTTAATTAATTTAGAAGTTAGAGTTTTCCTAATCTACATTATAAGTTTGAGCTTTTATGATATTGGTTTTTTTTAAATTATCTTTTGAAAACAAATTTCCATTTTATTTTTAAGGATACTATTTTGTTTTAGGTTTTTAACATAATTTTCTTTAGTATTTGTTACTTAAACTTTTCTATTTCATTTTCCATGATTAAAACGAAATTAAGGTTTTAATCATACTTAAACATTTTTTTGTTTAATGAAAATTGATGATGTGGGCCAATCATATCGAGTTTTTAATCCTATGTGGACTTAATTTCTATTTAATTTCAAGGGATACTATATTTTGGTTTTTTTTTAATATAATTTTCTTTTCTATTTGTTACTTAAGCTTTTTTGATTTTTTATCTATAAAATGAAATTAATGTTTTTTATTTACTTGTCAATTAATTTAGAAATTAGAATTTTCCAAATCTACATTATAAGTTTGATATTTTTTTATATTGATTTTTTTGTTAGTTTATCTCTTTTGAAAACAAATTTCTATTTTATTTTTGAAGGATACTATTTCTTTTTGGGGTTTTTAACATAATTTTCTTTTCTATTTGTTATTTAACCCTTTTTATTTTAGTTTTTCAATTTATAAAAAGAAATTAATGTTTTAAATTTTGACGAATGCTATGTTTTGATTTTTTAACACAATTTTCTTTTATATATGTTACTTAAGCTTTTTTTTTATTTTTCCATCTATAAAATGAAATCAATGTTTTATATTTTCTGGTCAATTAATTTAGAAGTTAGAATTTTTCTAATATATATTATAAGTTTGAAATTTTATGATATTGATTTTTTTTGTTAATGTAACTCTTTTGAAAACAAATTTCTATCTCTTTTATTTTTGAGGATGCTATTTTTTGGTTTTTAACATAATTTTCTTTTCTATATGTTACTTAAATATTATTTAATTTTCCATGATTAAATGAAATTAAGGTTTTAATCATACTTATCATTTTTGTGAATTTTTCTAATCTATATTATAAGTTTGAAAGTTTATGATATTGATTTTTTTTTCTTAGTTTAACTCTTTTGAAAACAAATTTCTATTTTATTTTTAAGGATACTATTTTTGGGGTTTTAACATAATTTTCTTTTCTGTTTGTTACTTCAACTTTTTATTTAATTTTTCTATGATTAAACGAAATTAAGGTTTTAATCATACATACTTAACATTTTTGTTATTTAATGAAAATTGCTGATGTGGGCCAATCAGATCAAGTTTTTTTAATTCCATATGGACGTCCTCAATGCACTATACCTTCAACTTTTATATATTATAGAGTTTTTAACATAATTTTTTGTAATTGTTACTTAAATTTTTATATTTAATTTTCCATTATTAAAACGAAATTAAGGTTTTAATCATACTTAAATATTTTGTTGTTTAATAAAAATTGCTGATGTGTGTTAATCATATCGAGTTTTTTAATCCTATGTGGACTTGATTTCTATTTAATTTCAAGGGATACTATATTTTAGGTTTTTAATATAATTTTGTTTTCTATTTGTTACTTAAGCTTTTTTTTTATTTTTTCATCTTTAAAATGAAATTAATGTTTATTTGTTTACTTGTCGATTAATTTAGAAGTTAGAATTTTCCTAATCTATATTACAAGTTTGATATTTTTTTATATTGGTTTTTTTGTTAGTTTATCTCTCTTGAAAACAAATTTCCATTTTATTTTGAAGAATACTATTTGTTTTTGGTTTTTTAACATAATTTTATTTTCTATTTGTAATTTAAGCCTTTTTTATTTTGTATTTTCAATCTATAAAACGAAATTAATGTTTAAAATTTTGACGGATACTATATTTTGATTTTTTAACACAATTTTCTTTTCTATATGTTACTTAAGCTTTTTTATTTTGATTTTTCCATCTATCAAGCGAAATTAACGTTTTTTTTTCTGGTCAATTAATTTAGAAATTAGAATTTTCTTAATCTATATTATAAGTTTGAACTTTTATGATATTGGTTTTTTTGTTAGTTTAACTCTTTTGAAAACAAATTTTTATCTCTTTTATTTTTATTTTTGAGGATACTATTTTTTTGGTTTTTAACATAATTTTCTTTTCTATATGTTACTTAAAAAAACTTTATTTAATTTTCCATGATTAAAACGAAATTAAGGTTTTAATCATACTTAATATTTTTTGTGAATTTTCCTAATACATATTATAAGTTTGAACTTTTATGATATCGTTTTTTTTGTTAGTTTAACTTTTTTGAAAACAAAGTTCTATTTTATTTTTAAGGATACTATTTTTGGGTTTTTAACATAATTTTCTTTTCTATTTGTTACTTAAACTTTTTTATTTAATTTTTTCATGATTAAACAAAATTAAGTTTTTAATCATAATTAATATTTTTTTATTTAATGAATATTGCTGATGTGGACCAATCAGATCGAGTTTTTAATCCCATGTGGACGTCTTCAATCACTACAAAAAAAGTAAATATTGTTACAAATTTTTTTGTCACAATATATAATTTTTCCGTCACAAAAATTATATTGTAACAATAATGTTACAAATTATTAAAGATCACAATAAAAACGTCACAAATCCATTTTAGTCAGAAAAACGTCATAACATAATGTGACGATTAACAATAGTAACGATTTGTCACCATTTGTAACAATATTAAAACAGTCACAAAAACTATACAGTTTATGACAAAAAAAACTATCACAATTAAGTCACAAGTTGTAAAAAAAATATCACATATTTGTAACAAATTCTTAATATATCTATGTCACTAATCTGGTATAAATTATGATAAACAATTTGCTAATTATTAGGTATGGTGTATTTGTAATGGTTATATCGTGACTTTGGAAAAAAAACAAAATAAATAGATAAAACTATTTTATTATATAAAAAACATATTTTGTTAAAAAAACAAAACATACACAATTAAATCAATAAAAACAATCGACATTTTTTAAATATTATTATATTAATGATCCAAATCGGGAAATAAATAAAATTTACAAAATTGAAATCAGATCAAACCAACCGGTTTAACCGGGAACAATACCAAAAGAAATTAACCTAATCTATCATCCTCCAGCGTCGACTTCCCACCACCCGCAAGCTCCAATCCGATAACTCTCCGGCTTAAACTTCGGAAACAACGGATGCTTGGTACAGCTTCATCGGCGGCGGACTCCGGAGACGACGGATCCTGGCAAAGGAAGCTTTGACGGCTACTCTCCAGCTTGAACTCCTCCTAGATCGACGCTGCCGCCCTCAAAACAGGTACAGATCTGGTCATGAACAAGACGAGTCCTCCACCGCTGCTCCACGCCTCGCATCCGTCCTCCATCTACGTTACAGGATCAGAAAAAAAAGGTTAGATCTGAAGAAAATAAGGTGGAGAAGAAGAGAAGGGAGGAGATGAAGGGGAGAAGAAGGAGAAGAAAATACTTACAGTGGATCGACGGTGGATCGACGGCGGTTAGAGGAAGCCCATAAAGATGGATCGATGGCGGTTTTAAGGAGATGCATCAGGGGCGAACTGAAGAAGAAGAGTAGGAATAAGAAGAGGAAGAAGACGAAGGAGGAGAAGATGAGATAGGAGATGGAGCACAGAAGGAGAGGACAACGAAGGCGAAGACCAAAATTAATTTTCCGTCAAAGAAAATAAGGAAGAAAGAGAGAAAAAAAGGAATGATTGGTGTGTGTTAGATTTAGTTTTATCAAGGGTTGAGATTAAGAATAAAGTCTAAACCTTCGATATAGGTTTTTGGAGCTTGAACTGAAGACTGTCAATGGAGGATTTCGACGAGTTTTCATTCTTGTGCTTCCTCGCTTCTTCCAAAACCTTGGAATAGACATGAGAACAGAGATGACGGAGAAAACAAACCCATATAAGAACTGAAACCAGAGAATATTGGAGGAAGAGGAAAACCTGAAAGTAGTCGATTTAGGGATCGAAGCCATAATCGCTGAAATGTTGAGACTCAAGCATGGGGAAAATTGGGAAGTTGTTCATCGACATTTCTTCTTAGTGTACTTGTTACTAGGATAGGAGCGTGTGAAGAGCTTTAATGGCGGAACTGGATTGGTTTTACGGGTTCGAGAGAGAAAAAGGTGGGAGAAAGCTTTTTTTGCTTGATTCAATGGTCTTTCACTATCTTGTCCCTTTCCACCTTCTTTTCCGGTTATTACATCTCCAAATACTTTCGAACTATATGTTTTTTAAAGGAAATTTTCGTAATTAAAATATGCTAAAATTTTGTATTCTCTAGCGATCACACTGTAAATGATTTCTTATTATCCGGTCATTATGATCACTAGTTATATAATTTTGTATTGAGGGTGTCTACATATAATTAAAAAACTTGATCTGATTGGTCTATATCGGCATATTCATTAAATAAAAATATATTAAGTATGAATAGGATAAAAAAACTTGATTTAATTGATCCACATCAGCTTTTTCATCAAACCAAAAATTATTAAGTATAATTAAAACATTAAAACTTAATTTAACAAATTATGTCCAACAAAAAAATAAATTCAATCTGATTGATCCAAATCAACATATATATTAAATCAGAAAATATTAATATGGTTTAAAAATTTAAAAGTTAAATAAAAAAAATTAACAATTAACAATACATGTATAAAAAGAAGTAACCATTATCAATTATCAATTTAAAAAATCTACAATAACTCGATTAAACAATTGAAACAATGAAAACTGAATAAAAATATAACATAAAACTCTAAGAAGACATGATAGAGAAGGAAAAAATGATTTTGCATGATCATTACAACTTCCTAACAAAATTAAATGCGAATCAACATGAATCATGGATTATATATGCAGTGGTACACAACATAAACCTTCAAGAAAAAAAGAAGTAAAAAAATTCTATGGAAAACAGAAAATAATACCAAAATCTTAGCAATAATTTTTTTCTCTAAATTAAATATATATATACGTCAAAGTTGGATAATTCGATATGTGTAATTGTTATTATTTTACCTAATAATTTTCAAACTTTTATATATTATATGATGCACTAGGTATATAATTCGCGCTACGCGCGAGTCGGTATTAATATATTGGTTTATTTTTTTAGCTACTCTCTTTAAAATTATTAAAAATTATATTTATTTATAGAAATTTTTATTTATATAAGATAAATTAATTTATAATGTGTATTTATCCTATTTTTATTTATAAATTTTAAAAAACTATTATGTCAAATAATAACAATGACACGTATCGAATTATCCAACTTTAACGTACATATACATTTGATTTAGAGAAATATAATCTTGCTAGGATTTTAGTATTATTTTCTGTTTTCCATAGAATTTCTATAGTTCCTTTTTCTTGAAGGTTTATGTGTTCAAATATTAAGTTTTTTTTTATTGAAAGTCTTATTCATGTTGTGTACCACTGTATATATAATCCATGATTCATGTTGATTTGTATTTAATTTTGTTAGGAAGCTGTAATGATCATGCAAAACCATTTTTTCCTTCTCCATCATGTCTTCCAAGATTTTTATGTTATATTTTTATTTAGTTTTTATTGTTTTAATTGTTAAATTGAGTTGTTGTAGATTTGTTTAAATTGATAATTGATAATGGTTACTTTTTTATACATGTATTGTTAATTATTAGTTTTTTAATTTAAATTTTAAATTTTTAAACCATATTAACATTTCTAATTTAATAAATATGTTGATTTGGATCAAACAGATTGAATTTACTTTTTTTTTTTGGACATAATTTGTTAAATTAAGTTTTAATATTTTAATTATACTTAATATTTTTTGGTTTGATTTAAAAGCTGATGTGGACTAATTAAATCAAGTTTTTTCATCCTAATCATACTTAACATTTATTTATTTAATAAATATGTTGATGTGGTCTAATCAGATCAAGTTTTTAATCTCATGTGGACACCATCAATGCACTATGTCATCAATTTTTATATATTATATAATGTAATTTTTATTATATATTGACGAGTAGAGTTGTAATTTCTTAAACGATTATTTATAGTTGTTTGACCTATACACCAAACTAAACTGAACTAACCAAGCTGTTGAATTGAACTCTCAAAGGAATGCCAAACAAGTAGTTCTTGTCCACTAGGTTTATAACTCGCGCTACGCGCGAGTTTGTATTAATAGTTTTGTTTAATTATTTTTTTGCTACTATCTTTTAAATTATCAAAAATATAATATATTTATAGAAATTTGTTTTATACAATAGAGTTTAAAACATAAATTAAATTTTCTCTTATTTTTATTTATAAAATTTTAAATCGTATTAAGTAAAATAGTAACAATGACACCTATCAAATTATCTAACTTTGACGTACACATAAATTTGATTTAGAGAGATATTTTCTTGCCAAGATCTTAATGTTTTGTTTTGTTTTGTTTTTCATATGATTTCTAGAGTTCTTTTCTCTTTAAGGTTAAAAAGTTCAAATATTTAGTTTTTTAATTGAATGTCTCAATGATGTTGTGTACCTATGCATGTATAATTCATGATTCATATTGATTCGCATTTAGTTTTGTTAGGAAGCTGCAATGATCATGCAAAGCCGTTTCTTTCTTCTTCTTCAGGTCTACCACGAATTTTAACTTATATTTTTAGCCAGTTTATTATTTAAATAATCTTTTTTTTTGCAGTCTAATATTTGACAATTTTAATTTTGAAACTTGTAGGATTGATGGTGTGGATTCTTCGCATTGTTTTTCACTATAGTTATCTTTTGTGTGCTTTCTACATGTTTTATTTGAATATGTTAGCTCCATATACTAATTTTTGTTTGATTCATAAATCTTTTATACTTTATTATTTAAATAATATTTTAGAATGTGTTACCCATGTGTTATTAATATTGGTTCAGATATAAGTAGTAGCTATGTATAGAAATCAGATTTTATTATTTGTTAAATTTTAAGCGTAAAATTACTTATGTAGTGTATTTCTTTGTTATTTTTAAATTAGAAACATCCAGTGTTTTAATCTTTGTATATTTAAAAAATATATTTGATTTAGAAACTCATGTAAACCGATTGCAAGTGTAGATAGTTATTCATTATCGATACCACTATTTTAGAAATCAGAAAATTTTTGAAACTAATTTTAAATTAGTTTCGTTTACTTTTTTATATATACTTTACATCTTTTAAGAGTAATTTTATACTCTATTTTAATTTATACAATTTTGTATATTTGATATACTTAGGACTTATATTTTTTTTTATTAAGCTCTTTTATTGTTGAATTTCAAAATAGATGGCAAATACATTAAGTTAATTTCTTGTACATGAATGCTTTTTCTTTGTTAAATTTGTTTTTTCATATTAATTTTTATTTTAGTTATAATGCTGATTTGATATGTTATAACTATTTATTTTAAATCTTATGCATAATTCTCTCAAAAGCTTATAACATCATTTGGTTTTTCTTAGTTAAGTTTTTTTATGTTGATTTTTAAAAACGCTAGCCTAAATATCAAGTTAGTTTTCTTTTATCCAATTTTTTTTTGTTTTGTCAGTTTACCTCTTCTGGTATTAATTCTTACTTTATTTTGAAACATTTGTTTTTTGAAGATATTGGCATTTACATACATAATTTATTTTTTATGTTAATGAGATTATTTTATATTAATTTTTAAATAATTAGTTTTTTAGATGATTTGAAAAAATTCCAATATTATTTTTTATATTTATTGTATGAACATTTGGTTAGCTAAGTTTTTTTTACTTTTATCAGTTAAAAATTTGTAAATTTTTTATTGATTTAATATTTTTTTATTGAATTTTTTTTTATTTAACTTTTTGTTAATGATTTCTATTTTTTTTATTTAGGTTTTGTTATATTGTATTTCTATTTTATTTTTATAGACGTTATAAATTTAGATTTTTGATATAATTTCAATTAATCTGTTTTATTAGTTAAACATTTTTGATGTTAATTTTTCATTCTAATACGAAAGTTTTTTTTTGCATATTTTAATTTATTTAAATTGCTAATCAAATATAATTTTTTGTGTTTTAATGAAAACGCTGATGTGGACCAATTAAATCAAGTTTTCTGTCCTAATCATACTTAACATTTTTTTGATTTAATGAATATGCTGATGTGGAATAATCAGATCGAGTTTTTTTAATCCTATGTGGACGCTCTCAATGCACTATGCCATCAACTTTTATATATTATATGATGATGTAATTTTTATTATATATTAACGAGTAGAGTTGTGATTTCTTAAACGATTATTTATAGTTGTTTGACCTATAAACCAAACTAAATTGAACTAACCAAGCTGTTGAATTGAACTCTCAAAGGAATGCCAAACAAGTAGTTCTTGTCTACTTAGAAACTCATATAGTAGATTTACCTTATTTTGTAAGATAATCTAAACTAGTTTTAAATAAAAATCCTTCAAAAATCTTTAGTTTTAAATATTGAAAATTTTATATTGGGTAAACACAAATTAAAAGAAAAATTAAAATGGGAGAATTGCTGAATATG